CCCTAAAGTATCCTGGAAGTTTCCAACCTGGAGTTGGCAACCCTATGTCCTTTCCAGGCAACCATCAGCCTACCTTTATCTGCCTGTCTGTCTTCAGGTTTACATCCCCCCCCCAGCCTCTGCCTAGGGAAAGGGCGGTCTTTCCCTGCAGTGGGAACCAAAGCAGCTGACATCATTCTCCTCTCCCCCGTATGATCCGCACAACTACCCTATGAGGTATGTTATGGTTGAAAGTGTGTGAATGGTCCATAATCCCCCAGGCAGCTTTTAAAACATGAACCTGGGACCTGCACACCATCCTCTGAAGCGCTCTCTGTGGCAGTAATGGGGTGACTGCTGGCACCTTTTCCTATCTTTTTTTGCCTTGTGGTATTCTGCTTGTAGTGTGATCTGTCTTCTTTGTGATGTGGCATGATTGTGTTATTGGGTTTGTTTCTTTTGAAGGGGAAGTGATGTGTTGTGAGTGAGGACATATTTTACCTCAGAATACAGTAGGTTCCATATGCAACTGACAATTCCAACTGCCTTGCGGGGGGGGGTTGAGGTGTGGAATGGAGTGAAGTCCAATCAGCTTCCATATGCAAGACCTTGAAACGCTGGGCGGGACTGCACAAAGCAGCCAGTCAACCCAGCCAGCGTCTTCTGACTGACAGGTCTTGTGGCCAAACACTAAAGGTGTGCATTTGGAACGTTGGAGCCCACTACGGCTTTATATATAAGGGAGAGATATCTGTAGCACTCAGAATTATACATGTAACACCATGATTGAAACAGAAACATTTCCTTCATATGACAATGACAATTACTTCAATATTTCTTATGTCGATTATCACTACAACTTATACAAGTCATCTGAGAATTCTGAGGCTTTTTAATACGCTGAACTTTGTGGCACAAGATGGTTGTTCTGTTTGATTTGTGCAAACAAACAACAAATTAGCCACATACAAAATCTTACTTACAACCAGGGGTATTTTGGGGCAGGAACGCACAGGAACGGAGTTCTGGCTGGCTCCCAAGTTGGCCACGCCCAGCTGGAACTCATTGACATAATAGGCCACACCCAACAGCAGAAACTCGTTAGGATTGGCTACAATTAGGGGTGTGGCCTAACATGCAAAGGAGTTCCTGCTCCAAAAAAAAAAGCCCGGGGTTTTGACAACAAACAAGGTAAAGAGAATAAGAAGCAAAAGGTGGGTGTGGTTGGATGACCACCCTTCTGGTGACATGGGGGTGTGGCCTAATATGCGAATGAGCTGTGCTGTCAGGGATGTAGCCTAATATGCTAATGAGTTCCTGCTGTTGGGTATGGCCTATTATGCCAGTGAGTTCCTGCTGGGCTTTTTCTACAAAAAAAGCCCTACCCATGACTCTCAGCTCATCATCTCAGCTCAGCCTCTAATGCCTATCAAAGTCAACCTCTTCCAGATACAATTAGAAGTTAGAGGTTGAAAGTTAAAGAGCTGCAGCCCAGTAAAACACAAGGACAAAACACAATTTAAAAAAATGCATCACAAAATTCAACTACAACCCCACCCTACTTGCCATGTCTTCTCAGTTATTAGAACTCTCACTTCTTCCCTCACCTCCTAAGACGGAGAGGGGAGGGAATTAGAAGTAAAATAAATATAAAACTAATGAGACTAAAACAAAAGTAAAATAAAATAAAACAAAACAACTCCTTCACAGAAGAGCACTAACTGCAAACATCTGATCCTACTCCCACAACATTTTGGTTGGCCCTAACAAAAAGATATTGTGTGGATTTTGTTTTTAACAGAAGAACAGAGTCAGAAACCAGAGACATGGCTCATTGGAAGCATGTCATCCCCCATCTACAGTGGTTGTCATCTTCTCTTACCTCTGTCACTGAGGTCAACCTCTTCTCCTTTCACCTGGTGAACCAGTTTCTCCTGCAGTCGTTTTATCTCTGCTTCCTTCTGTTCCAGTTTGTCTTTTAAAGATGCCAGCTCTTCCTGTGCAGACACAATTTACATTTAGAACACAGCTTTGTTTTAAAGGCACAGTCCTAAACTGAAGTTTTATCATTCAAGATGATAAATAAAATAAAATGAGAAGATAGCTTTTAATTTAAACTTGATGTTTAAAATCTTGACAAACTTTTGCCAATGGTTAACAAAAGTTTTCTCCAATGGTCTGTGCCTAGAAATATTCACAGACAAGGGAACACTATCCCATCTGACAATATCATCTATGATTTATATGTATAAGTATGTATACATGCATGAAATATTTTCACTCATATTAAGCAAATGTAACTTAATGCAGTAAATGAAGAACTCAACATCAAGTTTATCAACATCTATTTTAACACTGCAGTGAAGTGTGTGTTCTTATACAGATGCATGCATGCACACACTCTGGTGGGTGGACCGAAAGTGGAATAGAAATGATTTTTACTTGTGTGATAAAATACCGAGATAACTTCAAGTACAAACCCCGTGTATTGCTCAGGTCATAAACAGTTTTATCAACACATTCAGAAGGCAAACAAACGGGATAAAAACCACTGCAAATCATCACAAAATAGCCAGTTTGTAGTGACACAAATGCAATGTGAAGAAAACATGCATGCTTTAGCATCAAGACTAAAAGACTAAAGACAAAATTGCACTTTTCATCTGAATCTCTAGTCTGGTTTGGGATACAAGAAAGGATCTTACAATGATGGTGAACAGGATGCCCTGCCCATTCTATGAACTTGCTTTGAAATATTATTTCCAGAACTATATGTTGCTGTTGCAAAGAGGCCACCTTACTGGTAACTTCATTTTGCAGTTCCATCATGGGAAGTCAATCAGACGATCTAAGCAGCCTCCCATAATCCACACTCGCTCCAATTAAGGGCTGATACTACTAAACTCCCAGAACCTAGCAGCAGTCCACATTGCTGGAACCTGCATATCTGAAAGGTGCATTGCATTGGTTTTTTTCCAGCCCCTAAGCCAGGTGTCAAGCCCTGAATGGAAAACGGTTTGACCTGGCCACATTTAAACCTGACAGGTTTCAGGTATTATTGGACAGGTTGTCTTTAGCAGCTTAGACCCAGTATTCTTTAAGAAGTCAAATCTATAATCTCATCCCCCCCCCCCTCATTGTAAGCTGCCATGGAGGCCTTGTTGATGTCAAACAAACATAAAACTGAAATGCTACTTGTGTTCAAAAACAAAAAGTACTGAACTCCAGCTTGTTTCTAGAAGTTAAAAAAATGAACACACACACACTTCATATCCACAAGAGGTATTTTAAAAGTACAGACAGGGAACAAGATAGAAACAAGACCACGCCATCTGTGGCAAAGGAATGACTCAAAAGCCCAGCCCCAGCAATCTACTACACCTTCAGCATCTGGCATTTTTGCTCCATCCGCTGCTTTTCGTACTGCATCTGGCCCACTTTGATTTTCATGCTAGAAAGTTTGGCCATTAAAGACTGGTAACGGAGACAGAGGAAGGAAAGAGAAGTAAAGGTAGAAAAAATACAAGGCTAAAAATGGTTTTTACTGGGGATCATGGATCCATCTGAAACACATTTACTTTAAAGTAAGCCAAACTGGAATTTGCTGGAGCCTAGGTGTTCTCAGCACCACATGGGAAGGTCTGTTTACTGGGCAGCAAAGGGTATGGGAAGGGTGGGTGAGAAACCACATCCCCTCCTGTCTAGTTGAAGGCAATGCTTTCAACACAGAAAATGGCAGGAAAGTAGTCAGGTTCTTGACAACTTTTTCAAAAGACATTAAGACAGCAACTGTTATTTAGCACATAGTCATCCTCACCTAGAATGTATTTCATGAAAAATGAAACACTGGACTTATCTGAATATTTCTTCTCTTTAGTAGGGTGAAGTAATACAGACTGGTTAGGTCACGCCTCATCTTGTTTCAGGCAGGACTATGCGAATTTGTGTATGACTCTCCTGGGGCACAGGAAGGCTGCCCTTCCAGTCATCAAATAGCCCAGCTCCAAAGATATTGTCCTTACTAATTTCCGTGTGTGGGGGGGGGAGGAATGGATAACTTTGCCCCAGTGAAGAGAAGAAACCTTCAGGTTAAGTTCAATGTTTCATTCTCCTTCAGTGGGGGAAGTCATACAGACTAATTATATAACCAGACTAGATAAGGGGTGGGAGATCTACAGAATTCTCTTAATCTACCACTTGTTGAAGGACACTTCTCCCAAAGGAGGCCTGAAAAGAGTTCAGCTGGGTCAATTCTGTAATGTCTTATGAATGTAGAGGATGATGACCAAGTAGCTACCCTACAGATTTCATCTACTGCTGCTCTGGTAGAAAAGGCAGCTGATGTTCCTGCTGCCATAGTGGAATGGGCAGTAATTTTCTGAGGCACCTGAGACCCTAAAAACTAACCAGAAATCAAAGGAAGGGGTAACTAATATCTACAGGAGAAAGGAAAGAAAACTACTACTAAGAACCCAAGTAGCAGTGGTCGAACAATTTTAACAATGCTTTCAGTACTATTTCACTTAGAACACCTTTGTTAAGGTTCAAATGTAAAATGTATCAAAGTATTAGAGACATTTACATAACCCCGATTTGCTCTCGATCTCCTCGGAGAAATGAAAGATTTTACTTAGATAAGCTGCCGGCTGTCAAAGAGCAGGAAACTACTTTAAACATGGCAAAATTTGCCATGCAGGCTATCAAAATCCGGAGACAAGCTATTAGCAGTTAGTGAATATTGCACTTAAATAGAGATTTTAATTATCTAAAAATATTTTATCCTTATTCCTAACATTTTAATATTTGTATGCATTTTAATGTTTTACTGGCTGATGTTTTTTCAGTTTTTTTTTAATGTAAGTGGTCAATGACCGTACTAATAAATTGTTTGATTGATACTCCCAGATTTGTGATCACTTGTGACGGTTGCAGGCTGGCTCTCTTCTAGATTGATGACAAAACTGTGTTCCCTGACCACCTCAATCGTCAGATTCAGTGACTGCAGGGCCTGAGAGCAAGATGGAGCCTTGGTTAAGATATCGTCTAGGTATGGGAAGAGGGCCACTCCCTGAATCCTCAAGTGTGCCACCAGTGACACTAGGACTTTTGTGAACACCCTTGGTGAGGATTTTAGTCTGAAAGGAATGGCCCGATATTGGAAGTGCTTCCCGTTGTACTCAAACCTGAGAAATCTATGGTGCGCCTGTCTGATTGGAATATGCAGGTATGCCTCGGAGAGGTCAATGGAGCACATAAAGTCTCCATGCTGGATAGCTGCTACTATTGACTGTAGTGTCTCCATTTTGAACTTCTTGGTTCAGACCCTCTTGTTTAGCCACTTTAAATCCAGTATGGCTCTGATATCCCCATTCTTTTGGGGAACAGTGAAAAATACAGAGTACACTCCCTGTCCCCTTTCCTGGTGGGGTACCGGTTCTATGGCCCCAATGTCCATCAGGTGGATGATTGCCATGTTCAGCGCTGTTTTTCTCTAATGATCTAATGATCGACTCTTGGGGAAATCTAGGAAGCAATTGGCTATGTTTGAAATTCTATAGAATAACCTTCTGTCACTGTGTCCAGTACCCATTTGTCGGTTACTGTCTGATGGCAACGTGAGGAAAAACTTTGTAGATGGCCTCCGATGCTGATGTTGTTGGCGCTCCTGGCATAGTCATGCTGTGCTCCCTTTTTTAGCACCTTTGGCTTGTTGTCCTTGTTTGCTATTATCCCTTGGTTTTGACTTCCACCTTCCCTTGAAACTTCTTCTTTTATATTTAAGTTTTTATTGAGTATATCTATCAGTCCACGAACACACATTCATCATCCATCTTATTGATACTCATTTTCTATTTTTAACAATCATAATAACCAAACAAAATAAAGAGAAATTCACCTGAGGTTACTATTCCAACAACCTGAAATTTCTACTCTCATTTAATCCCTCTTCTTTTCATATGCCCGTATCTTACCCGTTTATGATTCCCGTCCAACTTCCCCATAGCTTATAGTTAATCATAATACAACTCATAATCTACAGTTCATTTCTACCTCAATTACTACTATTTTTATCCATCTTTTTCTGTACCTGAGAAGAAAAGTTGAAAGGGTTGCCTCCAATTATGGGTGCTACGGAGAACAACTCTACAGCGAGAGGTGAACCTCGTCTCTCCCTGTATTCAGAGGTCTTGGGGGGGGCACACTCTTCGCCTCCTTGCTATACCCTATTATTACACTAAAGACTCTAATCCTCTAATCAAACAATACACACAGATAACTATTCTTACTTAGACATGTTTAGAGTTCAAGTCTACTCTTGTACTAATAAATCTTACTTTCAATTGTTTTCCCCTACTTACACTATAGCCCAACTATCCACACCAGAGTATATTGTTCCCTTCACACCCCTCCTTTCAATTTAGTGACAGCCTCAATAAGATTTTTACCCGTCATCTCATTATGTGCTATAAACTTTTTGTTATTTAAATTAACCATCAAATGGCCGAGTGCTAGTCATCTATATGGTATTTCCTTTTCTCTCAATGTCTTTGCAATTTCACGCAGTCTTTGTGCCGAGTGCTAGTCATCTATATGGTATTTCCTTTTCTCTCAATGTCTTTGCAATTTCACGCAGTCTTTGTCTCGCAATCAGCACCTCTGGGATGACGTCAGCATACAAAAACACGCATGTGTCTTCAAGGGGCAAACCTTGTTTGTCTCAAGGTATTTTGAAAAATTTGTTTCTGATGTGTAGCTCTTTGAATTTGACGATGATGTCTTGCGGAAATCCGAGGTAATTATCTCTTCAGAGGTCTCTGTTACTCCCTCTAACCGAAGCGTCTGCAAAAACCATTTGTTTAGTTCCTCTTTAAGATGACCTGTTACACAGAAGTTTGAGGAAACTCCACGTAGTTTTGCTTTCCTTTCCATTAACCTGGTCTCCTGAAGGATAATTTTATTTTTAGCCCACTTCTCAAACTCTTGTATCGTCGACAAATCATCAGCTGCTTTTCTAGCAATTTGAAGTGCAGATTCAGCTTTCTTCCCTGTTGCTTTCACAGTTGAGGTAAGTTCACCTAAGTTTCTGATTTATTGGGTCAATGATGAGCTTGAGCTGAGCGAATTCCTTTCTTAATTGTCCAACTTCAGAAGACAAAGCTTTTATATCACTTTTAATCTCCTTTATTTCTGTTACTGCCTGTGTAATTGGAACCTGGTAGTTTTGGTTTTAATTCCCTCCTGCTGCTGCCATTTCCTCTAGCAAGGAGAGCTCTCGCTCTGATTCTTCTGAATCGGTAATATCCTTCCGTGGCAGCCACCGCAGCTCCATTATACTGAATTAGCCCCTTGGTATAACAAGATCTTGGTATAACAGGAGCTGCGGTAGCTCAAGTGGTTAAGACACTGAACTGCAGGCTGTGGAAGGTCGGTAGTTTAGCAGTTCGAGACTCAAGTGTGCCGCATGATGGAGTGAGCTCCCGTTTCTAGTTCCAGCTTCTGCCAACCTAGCAGTTCGAAAGCAATAAATTGCAAGTAGATAAATAGGTACCACTTCAGTGGGAAGGTAACAGCGTTCCATGCACCTTGGTGTTTAGTCATGCCGGCCACATGAGCACGGAAATGTCTTCGGACAGCGCTGGCTCTTCTGCTTTGAAACGGAGATGAGCACCACAACCCTAGAGTCGGATTCGACTGGCTTTCGAGCAAGGGAACCTTTACCTTTTTATAACAAGATCAGTGTTGTGTACTCTGATGGGCAGTGGCTCTCCAGGATCTTAGACAGAGGTTGTTCACATCACCTACTGCTGCTTCCTTTCTTAAAAAATATTTTTTTATTTTGTTATAAAATTAAGGGAGGAGTACAGAAAAAGAAGAAAAAGGAGAGGATGTAAAGCTAGTCATTAATTATCTAAGGCTTTTAACATATATCAAGGACATTATTGTAATACATAATACATAGATCAAGAGTAAGTTATTTTAAGTTATTTCTCTTATATCAATTAAATGAAGTTGTCATGACATATATGTATATTTTAACAAATCATCTCTGTGTGTGTGTGTATTCTAACATTATTTTTGGTATTTTGATATAATAATTTTTGCATACCATTTATAATTCTTCCTCCAAAGCATAAGTGAACTTAAATAGTAAAATAGGCTTAATTAGTAAAATAAATATAATACCAATTAGAGAGCAGTTATAATCTCTTATGTTCTCCTGACTCTTCGGTTATTTCAGGGGGCCCAAGTCTTTACCCATTTCCATTTCTGCTGAAATTCTTCAGTTAGTCTTTCGTTTACTTGATTAATTATCTTTGCCATAATAGCATATTCAGCTAATATATCACTCCACGCTTCTTTTGTTGGACAATCTTCTGTTTTCCATTTAGTTGCAAAAAATACTCTTGCTGCAATTAGGATATATCTGAATAAATCTTGTGATGTTCTTTCAACATTATCCAGAATCATTCCCAATAGCATTGTCTCTGTATTCACTGGAAATTTAGTTTTGAGGATTTTCTGGACCTCTGCATGTATTCCAAGCCAATATCTCCTTGATTTTTTTAACATGTCCACCACATGTTATAGAAAGTGCCTTCTGTTTCTTTGCTTTCCAACAAGTTCCTACTGCTGCTCCCTTTTGACTGGAGGTGATGATAATAGTTTATATTTAATGTCTGTATGGTTGTACACTGACATTTTTTTAATGTAGGCTTGCTCACAACTTTAATCCAAGTAGGTTTTTTGGCTCACAAAGTAAAAATTTGGCTCATAAGAATCCACAGCTTAGAGGGAACATTGGCACTGCCTAGAGCAAGAGGAGGCGTGACCTATCCAGTATGGATGAATTCCCCCATTGAATGAGAACAGTTCTCTCTACGAGCTGCGTTTTTAATGCAACAGGATAATATCTGGGTCTGCCAGCAGGCTCATGGCCTGGCTGGATTGCACAGAGATGCTATTTGTCTCAGTCAGCATTGCATCTATGTAAGAACAGTGGATCTAGGCTTCCCTACCAGCCCCCATGGCAGCAGCTCTAAAAAGCCCTGTCATCATAGGAATTGGGGCAGCCACACATACAACTGCACCCATTCATACAAACTGGCACCTATATGGAGGTGCCTGGAGACAACCTCCACATCCCATTCAGCTGATTTCATATAGGCAGCCTCAAAGCCTATACCATGTGCTTGCAAATATTTAAATACAAAGCCAACAACATGTAAATCTATTAAAGATACAACTGAGATGATGTTTCCAACATTTAAAAAATTCCTCTTTTATACAGAGGAGGATTACAATCTTATACCCACCCCCTTCTTCATTTGTATTGATGACTACTTACTTTGGTATACTTAATTTTTTTCTCATAGTGAAGTCTCTCGCTATCCATCTCTCCTACTTTCAAGCGCAATTCATGAATTTCCTGAACCAAACCCTGTATAACAAATGGATCAATAAAAAAACAAAAATAATGAGAATTTAGTATAAAAGCAGATTAAAGCAGACCAGCTGGAACTTCTTTTTCAGTTTTGTTTACAAGCATGTTATAAAATTCAAACTTAAAGTCAACTTCGGCCCCGGTCACACAAAGGTTTTGGGCCGGGAGAGGGACGGATCGGGGGCACAGCAAACGGGCGCAATCTCACCGCAACATCTGGGAAGTGTTGCGCACCTGTCCCCGATCCGGCCCTTCCGCCCGAAAAGCCGCAGCAAGACTAAACTACCTAGCGAGGTGGACCTTCCAGCACGGCCGCATCAAGCCCGGCTGTGGGATCGCCGGCGCGTCCTTCTGCCGGCGCATCCCAGGGTCCTGGCTGAACTGCGCATGCTCACACATGCACAGTTTGGCAGCCTCCCTTTCCCCACTGTGGCTTCCCCCGGCATCTGATCGTGCTGGGGAGAGAATGCGCCGCGGCTCAGGGGATCAATGTGATCCTGCCGTGGCGTCTCTATTTTGGTGCGGCTTCCAAAACCACACTTTGCCCGTACCCCCCCCCCCCCGTGTGGCAGGGACCTTCAGTGAACATCCATATGTATGAATTATTAGCCATTTCCCTTATTCTTAGCTCCCATGCCACTGTTTTCATTGGAAACATAAGAAAGTAAATGCTGTTAACGTCTGCTGCTTAAGACACAATGCTCAGTAACAAGTTATATACAGCATTCACCCAGCAATTCCCTCCTCATTATTAACAGAACAGTGATCCCCAGCAAGGTCCACTGATGTTTTTCATGGGGCCCATTTTCTTCTTCAACAAAGAATCCGTTCTCCAAAGCAAAGAACTAATCCTGGCTTTCCTCCACATCACTGGAGCAGGAGGTGGCTCAGAAGAACTCAGGAGACATAAGAAGGTAATTCACAAGAACCCAGCCTGGCCAGCAGTAGACAGCAGTCCTGCAGGCGGCATCTGGGTGAACTGCGTCTGCCATCTCTGGCTGTACTTCACTGGCTCATCTGCTGGAGCCCAGCTGCTGGGGTTCCATTGCCTGCCTATCCTGTGCACCCTGACTTGACCCCAGCGCACTTATTCTCAACCCTTCTCGATCACAGAGACATGATAAATAAATACCTGTGCCTAAAACATCCCACTCTAAAACACTTGGGAGAGTGGCACTACGGGTACTTTTGTTAATGTTAGCCTACATTTCATTATTAGGACAGTCTTTACTGCTAAAAAACAAAATTGCACTGGAGAGACACAGGCTTTTGCCACAATTCCTGCGTGAGGTCCTCGAGGTCCTCCAGCACTGGGAAAACAATAATCCCATGAGGCTGAATAGAGGTGACTCAGCATCTGATCTTTGGGTTTGTGCTGTGAGGTAATGACTTCTATCTCAAGAGACTAGGCCATACAAATATCCTGTTCTCCAACCCGATTCTCCCAGATTAGAGTCTGCACATTTAACCACTACACCAAACTGGCACATCTTCTCAAGGTAAACTGGAGAGACAGTAGTTACAGGTAACATTTGGATACACTCCATGGGATGCTGGAGATGGCTTGCCTGCCTCTCATCGGGGCTCAGGTCTTTTTTTTTTTTAATAATTTTTATTGTATCGTAAAACAAGTTACAAAAAAGTCAAATACCTTAATAACAATATTCCAGTAATTTTGTGTAACATAAAAAAATCTGAAAAACTACATTTATGCTTATCACATTTCAGAAACATTTAATTCGCTCTGGTATGTCTTGAGAACTACAGTATTCATCTATGTATTTGCCAATATGAAATTGCATTGTGTCTGTATTGCTTATTTGTATAGGAAGTGTAGGATATAACATGCAGTATAGAGTTGTGTTCCATGTTGAAATAGTCTTTACAGCCACCTCTGGAATTGCTGCCAGGAAGAGGGCAGGGGCTCAGATCTGATGTTGTGTCAGATCCACTGGATTCAATTGCTGCCTTTTCTCTCAGCACAGGCATAGGAGAATGTGGCCTGCATGCAACAAGTCACTGAAGGTGGGTATGATGACACCCAATGAGGGTAATGATACAAACTAGCATCGCTGGGGCTTGCAAAATTGTCACCCCATTCTTCCATATATCCTGGAGACACCATGTCTGGGTGTGAAGGCCACCACACAGGCGATTAGGGCTGAGACCATGGCACCATGGCCATTTGCTCCAGATTGAACTCACGCAGAACCTGACTATGTGGTAAGCTCACATCTACCTCCCTGTCTGAGATAGAAACAGGTGGAGATCTTGGACCAGGAGATGGAATCCTGCAAGGCTGGCATTGGCTTGGGTGTGCAGGCAGGAGCGCTCTGCTGAGAAGCTGATTTGTGTTTCTCTTTGTCCTTGGTCTTGCCCTTAGCCTTCTTGGCTGGAGGCTCAGAAGAGGTATGATGCAGTGGAGAGGAGCACAGAGACTCGATCCGCTAAGACACAGATCCAGGAGGTGAAGCCAAACACACCAATTCCAAAGACGTGGATTTGGGAGCTTTCTCCAGGTTCATCTTGGACAAAGGCTCCGAGGCTTTAAGGACTTCCTCCCACAATGCTGCCTTACGTTTTGATGCCCTATTCCCCCAAGCTTTAAAGGTGAAGTGTTGGCAGGTCTTACATGTGGAGACGTTATGTCCCTCACTCAAACAGAACAGATAGAGGTCATGTTCGTCAGCTTGGGTCATCTTCGCACCACAGCATGTTTTTCATTCTTCCTAAAATGCATTTATATTTGAAAATTGTTGGGCGCGGGGGGGGGGGGGGCACCAGAAGGTATCCTTGCCTAGAGTTCAAAAAAGGCTGGAGCTGGCCCTGGATACCTGACATTATGTTTTATGGCACACATGGCCTGGCCCAACAAATTAACATTTATGACAGATCCAGCCCTTATAACAAATGAGTTTGACATCTCTGCCCTAAGCGATGATGTTGAGCTGATCCATTTACTGCCAGAACCATAAAACCAGAATTTGACCCCACACACACACAATAAATGCTCCCCAAAACAACAAAAATGCAAAAACTAACAAAAAAAATTTCATGAGCCAGTTAAAGTTGTGAGCAAGTTTAGATTTTTATTTTTTATTTTCAGTTTACGAACTTTCTAAGGTGCTACGGGACTCGAATCTAGCTTCTTTCTCAGCTTAACATACTTTACAGTGTTATAAGGATAAAAATGATGGAGGAAAGAATCATGTAAACCATCTAAAGCTCCTTGGAGGAAAAGCAGGATAAAATTGCAGTTGATAAAAGATTAGGAACAAAAAGGCATAAAGGGATAAAGCCCCTCTTCATTATGTTACTTTTTCACTCCATCTAAGTAAATATTTCCTTTTTCACTGTGCAATTATATATTATTACACAAACAGAGAGAGAGAGTGCATCAGGGGTCATTTAGGGGGGGGACGCGGGGGGACGCCATCCCCCCCGGGTGAGGTGTGGGAGGGCGGGGCCTGGAGCTCCCTGCTGGTGCCCGCTGGAGGTCGCCGCCGGCTGTGGGGAGGACACACTTCCGGTGGTCAGGGGGTGTGGCATATGCTAATGAGTTATGCTAATGAGTCCCCCTAGCTCTTTTTCTACGAAATGACCCCTGGAGTGCATCAGGCAAGAATAAAAGCAGCCTTGAGCTGCTGGTACAGCATCTTATTTATTTTCTTTTAAACTGATATTTGATCGTAATAAACTGAAGTACTAGAACTATTTATTTCCTCAACTTTTTCTTGGAAGTAATATATTTTGCCAAGCTATATTCTCTAGCTCCCTCAGTTGGAAATAAATGAGAAAGGGGGGAAGGACAAGAGAGAGAGGGAGGGAGGGAGAAAAGATGGGGAAGTGAGAAGGAGGAAGGAAGGCACACAGAGAGAGAGAGAGAGAGAGAGAGAGAAAGCAGATAGATGGGGGAGGAAGGGAAAAGAAAGAGAAAGAGAGAGAGAAAGCAAATAGATGGGGAAGGATGGGGAGGAACGAAGAAAGAAAGAGAAAGAGAGAGAGAGAGAAGGCTTGGAGAACGTATTTAACTTTAGATGGGAGGGAGGGAGGGAGGGAGGGAGGGAGGTCATAGAGAGAACACTGGTCACCCCCCCCCCCCCCCCCCCCCCCCCAGCCAGTTTTCCTGCACCTCAAGCCTACTCAGGGAGGGGACCACAGCCTACTGGGACACGTGGCCTGGGTAGGCTCAGGAAAACCTCCCAGCCTACCCACAAGCCTGCCTGGCCCCATGGCCTTGGAGACCAGCCTCACCACCCCCACTTTCCCCACACTCAGGGCAAAATCCATGGCAATTATCCCCATCCACCCACACATGCACCGACCCCACTCTTCCCTTTCCTCCCATGCAAAGAATGAAAAAAGTTGGGTCAGACTGTGCAAAGCTGTCTGGGCAAAAACCAAGTCACTTTGGGGCCCCCTGCCCTAGTCAGACTTGTCACAAACAACTTCCTACCCCACATGGGTCTTCTTTTTAAAATGCAGAATCACAGCAGATTGCCTTGGCATGCAGGGAGGGGAAGCACCTCGTCTGCAAAACAGCTAAGTCTCCTCCCACCACCACTATGCCGGGAAGGGGGCGGCTGTAATGCTTCCCCTTTAATTCCCCAAATTGCAGCTGGAAGGGGCTGGGATTGAGCCCATGACATAGCTGATGATCCTGGCCAAACTCTGGGATCTGCTGTAGCAATGAGGCTTGCCTTGCCAGTCTCCCTTGCATGAAGCTCCACAGCTGGGTCGTGAGTCAGCACCCTTCTCATCCAAGCTGAATCCAACAGTCCTCAGAGCGCCACACACATTCCTGCACCTCAAGGTGCTTCTCCAACCCCCCTTGCTCACAGCCGGAGGGTACAGCCATCTCATGATCTCTGTGGCAGTGCCCATCTCCCAGCCTCTAAATCAAAGAAGCCCACACAGCAATCCGTGCCACCGCAGGGGGGCGGAGTTACCTCCTGGGCTCAGCTGCTTCATAACTTCTGCTGGCAATAAGCTGTCACCTGCCTTGGTTCCCCCCCCCCCCCCCCCCCCCCCCCCCCGGACACTCGCCTGTCCTTGCTTGCTCTCTCCTCTGCCCTCCTCCTCCCTCCTCTCCAGCATGGGAAGACACTTGGGTCAAGGTGGGGCCTGGCCCTTCCTGCCTGGCCTTGGCTGCTGGGAGGGAAGCCAGCCACCACCCAAGGCCATGAGAGGCTGTGGGCCAGCTGCACACGTGGCCGGCAGCCAGGTGCCCTGTGCTGAAGGGGAAAATACATGCGCTGCCAAAGATTAATGTGCCCAGTGCACGTAACTCACGTTAAAGGAAAGACTGGTGGCAACCCAAAACTGAAGCCCCATGTTTCCTGACCCATAATCTACTCCTAGAAAACATGACTATGTTGCATTTTTCTCTACCCAAGTTCTGTTCCAATAGCTACAGCTTGTCTGGAGGGGCGAGGGGCAGCACAACAACATTGTGTCTTTCCTTAAGTACAGCTAGATGAAGCTTCAACACCTGAAATTTTTTTACACAGTACAACTCATTGGATATTAGAAACTACTTTTCAGCATCTGATTTTTCCTCCTGCAGCATCAGGCTACATTCGAGGCCTGTGCAACCTGTCACTCATAAAGCTAACTGCAGGTTACCAGACACAAAGTTTAACCAACCACCATAAAAATGGGATGGGGGAGATTCTGCCAGGCATCAATATGTGGCCTGAACTCTCAGTGTTTTCATGATCTCCAGTTATTATAGCCTAGGCAAAACTTGAATGAGCAAGCCTATTTGTGAAAGGTTGACAAAAAGGCTGTGAGGTAAGAAAACACTGCTTCCCACCTTACCCCCAACATAAAAAGCAGAACAAATTTTATTTTATATACAAAGAAATTTTAAGAAAGAAAAGTTTCAGCCTCACCTCTGTGTCTCTGAACCTGTTTTCATAGTCTATTCGGTCCTTCTCCACAGAGGTCAGCTTGAGCTTTAAATTAGATACTTCTGCCATAAGGTCCAGCTTTTGAGTTTCAAGGGACGTTCTGCTTAAAAGCTCCTATAGAAAAGTAGCAGAGAAGAGTTCATTTAAGAAAGAAACACTTTTTAAAAAGCACAATAAATGTACTTATGTAGTATATTTTTATCCCTTCCTTGCTCCAAGCAGCTCACAGCAGCAGATATTATTCCTCCATTTTATTCTTGCAACCACCATCCTGTAAGGTAGGATAAGGCTGAGAGTTGACTGGCCCAAGGTTACTGACAGAACTTTCATAGAAAATGGGGATTCAAACCTGGGTCTCCAAGTGTGATGCTCTAATCACTCCACCACACTGACTCTACTGAAGGCCTATACGTATCTTCTGTAATAAGAATCAGAAGCCAAATGTAAGTGGTGGGCCAGCCATCATAGGACAACCCAGACACAGGCTGGAACAATAGCACCACCTCAAGGTGAAATGAACTGCTGCATGTTCCTGTCCTTGCTGGAACCTAAGGGTGAAATCCTTCCACGTTCTACATCTTAAAAGTCTATGCTTTCTATACAGCTACCCAAGATAGACTCCAAAATGAAGACTTACTTAGTGAAAAATACCCCAGTGAGTGAGATCAGGAGAACTTTAGCCTGTGTGTAGGGTCATTGGGTGCATAGTCGGCCAGGGTCAAAGGGTCCTTAATTATGGTGCTGGAATGGAACTGTAGCACGTATAGCTTCTCATAATACATGTGTGACAGATCCCAGTTGCCAAAGCCCTCTTTTCTATCAAGCCATTTGTGTCTGAGGCATCTGCCCACTTCCACATGGGTCAGCTTATTTTACAGGGCAGGGTTAGCAACATGGAATTACAGCTCAACGAACACAGAGGCCATTTCCATGACAAACATTTTCAATGGTTTTTAACAGGCAACCAAATGTAGTAAAACTTCATTTCAGATGTTTGTGACACAGTTGAAAATAAATAGGGTGTTCTGGCGAGGTACAACTGTGACTTGGCTGTAGCCCCCCAGCAGCCTCTCCCCTCCACAGGAGGAGAGAGCAGCCCAGCAGCAGGAAGACCCCCTGGAGCCAGGCGAATGAGGGACAGCCAACGGCGGTGAGACCGGCAAGGGCAGGGCCTGGCCCCACCACCCCTCTCTGCCGCCAGGACAAAAGATGGCCCACGGAAGGCAAGGCCCCAGGTCTGGGCATGCTGCAAGGGTACAGGTGAGGTGCTCGGGTCGGATGCTGAGGTGGCAGAAGGACTCCAAGAATTATGGCACCCATGCAAGGGGCCAGGTGACAGCGTGGCTATCCGCCTCGGCGCCTCCCAACCCCTGCCCCGGGCTGCCAGAGATAGCATGGCCACACCTGGGAATCACAGGGTGTCTGTTGTGGGGAGGGGAAGGGAAAGGAGTTTGTAAGCCACTCTGAGACACCTTTGGGTAGTGAAGGGCGGGGTATAAATCCAATCTCTTCTCTTCTTCTTCTTCTGATTGAGCATCAGAGCTCATATGTGGGGGTGGGGGTTTAGTCGGAAGAAAGGCAGGGCAGCCAATGAGGGAAGGACGAGGGAGCGGGGAGGGGTATTATTAAATCGTAGCAATGGCATCGTTATTATTCTGAGCTCACAAGGAAGTTGGATGGAACTCCTGTTGTAATACCTGTTGTAGCATTTCTTCTGTGGCATTCAGTTTTTCCCTGTGCTCTTCTAGGCAGAACTCTAAATCTCTGATCTTCTCTCCTTGGGCCTCCACCTGGTCAGTAAGGACACTCACCTGTGCAAGAAGAAGAGATCCTTAATCAAAGGATATACTTAAGCACTTCACTTCTATGTAACGTGTTTCATCATAAAGTCCTGTATTACAAAAGTAAAGCAATTTAGGTCTCAGATTAATTACAGGTACCTGCAAAGCAGTCTCAGTAGACATACAGCCAACAATGGTAAGGGGCATCCACGGCAGTGCGCAACAGGATGCTTGTAAGTTCCCTTTGTCAAATTTCATGAGCTTACCAAATTCCCTTTATATCCTAACGTTTTCTTCCAGGCTTACAGTAAGGTTATCAGAAAACTCACAGGCATAAAAAGTGATTACTGCAGCCTTCACAGCAGACCACTGAAACACACTTTCCCAACGGGCAGAGCAATACTGTGTTGTACTGCCGCTGCAGCAGCTGGCCACGGTGCAGCTACAGCACCACTAGTCGCCTCCCTAAAGGGATAGTTATGCGGCAGCCGAATGGAAAAAAGGCAACAGCGTTGTCAGGTGCTGCCATGGTTGCATCCGTGGTGATCCCGCCACAAGGTTATATTCCAGTGTTGTTGCAAGGCAGGGGTGGCGTGATAGACAAGGCAGGTAGGACCAGGGGTCATTTCCTGCAGGAGCGCACAGGAGCGGAGCTCCGGCAGTAAAGAGCCCAGGGGGCGGGTACATGCAACAAGCCCCACCCCCTGCTCCCAGCAGCCCCGGGCCACAAGGAGCAAGAAGCAGCTAGGTAAGCTGCAGACCCCCCCCCCCCCCCCCC